GGTGCAACTAAGGGTTGCTTGCTCAAGGACACATTGGTGGACGTGTCGGAGTGGGTCAAAACCCTCTGTTTCCACTGATGTGGATTAAGTAACTGAAGATATTTATTAACTGAGTAAGTAGTGCTAAGACATACCTGCAAGTAACATAGCGGTCGATCCTGAGGTGGCCTGCAATGGAGAAGAAAATTGTTTATCTCTCAGTTGTACGTGTATATTAGTTGTTGCAATCACCATTAGTGGATATGCAAACAACTTGTGAAAATAAGATGTACGAAACTGCACTAAATATTAGCATATTTTTTCTAAATTCTAAACATCATAAAATCTGAATTGTGTTGAAGGACGATTTTTAAGGATTACTTTATTTTCTATTATGTTATCTGTCTGCACAACAAAGTGTGGCAGCACTGTCTTTCTGGTAATGAGCACAAGGTAGATCACTATCATGCTACAGGAAATAGACCACTTCCTTTTCTCATCGTCCCTTCTTTGTAAAGTATGCATAGACCCTTGTTTGTCAAACAGTGTCAAACCAAGACAGCCATGCCCCCCTCCCCCTACCCAGCCCCGTGACTGCTGCCCTCACACAGAGGATCAAATGAGGACAGGAAACTGAGTCACAGCCATACAGTGAAAGCAGTGACCATCCGCTGTCATCAAGCCTGCATGCTCCTGCCCCCAGGGACGTCAGTAGAGTTCTCCGTAAATTGTACTTCTCCATCTCTACTCACTCTCTTCCCCATAATAGTGAAATTATTTCACTGTCAGCAGTTTTTGGAAAAAAAACAATCATCATGTATGTGTCAGTATTGTTTCTATCACGAGAGTCCTTGTCAAGTGATTTACTTACGCCTTTCCTCCACTAACCACAAACAAGACTCCCATGCATAACTGTTGTGCAAAGAGAAGTGTAGTACAAAGCAGTCATTCTCAAAGTGGGGTCCACAAATAATATAATGACATAATGTATGACTATTCTCGTCTTGGGTTTCATACCCCTTATGTAATAAACATCTAAAAGCAAAAATCAGATGGGGGACCCTGTGACAATACCTAATCGCATGGGGGTCCATGGTCTAATTTGTGTCAGTTTAGGGGTCCTTGATGTGAATAAGTTTGGGAACCGCTGGTATAAATAATGGGCCTGCTTTTGTCTCCTAACATGCGAAATTCCATTTTTTTATTACACCACAACTTCATCACAACATGTGAAAGTAAAATAACATAAATTACTAGTTTATCATTTATTCGTTCTGTTAACCATGAAATTGTGCTCCTCTTCATTTTATGTATGGTCACTGAACACAGCTGTCTATGTGTTCTTGTTCATTTTTGGTCTTGCTGGTATCATTTAATTATGTCTTGAGTGCTTGCAGACAATTTCCACGACAGACGCTTTGGGAATATCTGTAATCACAATCTGACTCCTGGACAGTAGATGTTTCCACTTTGGTTATGCAAGTGTGACAGTTTCCTACACGTAGCATGTGACTCTGTGGAATGCATGTATTAAAGTTATGTGAACAATGGTAATTGTCCTTGCCTTTCTACTTTGTATTGTATGTTTAATTAATAAAATTCCCAATGTTGAAATCTTACTGTTCTAAAGTAATTTTTCATCACCAAGACAGTGTGCTTCTATCATAAGATTTCATGATGTTGTTTTGTGTTCTGGGGTCATAAATATTTGTATTTTGCAACTTTTGACTTGAGATTCTACATTTATAGTATGAATATGTATCACCTACATAAGACACATGTGTTGAAAAAATAAATAATAAACAAGATGTTGGGGCGAAAACTAGAAACATTCCCATTATGAAAACTCACAACTACAGTTTAAAAGACAATTAAATGTGTTATTGAAAAAAAGCACAACAGAAGAGTTTTGGGTTGAGAGAGACAGAAAACAAGTAAGAGAAAACTATTAGAAAATAAGAGAAGAAAAGTGAAAGTGAGAATAAGGAGTTAAATGTGAATCATCTCTTATGATGAAAGTGAGATTCAAAGGGTTCAGAAGGAAGTGTAATGAAACAAAAAAGACGCCCAGCGACTCTCAGTTGATAAGAAATCACAGGATGAAATTGCTAAAGTATTGTTGGCAGGTGCAGACTCAGAGAAAGTTTGAAGGTTTGATACTCACAGATTGAGGTTTGTACAGACGGTAGATGAAGCAGGCTTCTATGGCCATGCCGCACAACGCCACGCTCACCAGCAGGAACAGCAGGGTCTGTCCTACCCCTGCACGCTGTTGGCCCTGGCTCAGCCTTGGTGGCACTGATGGCCGGGTGGCATGGGTGTCCACCACATACACAGAGGGATATCCACCCTCAGCCATACCTACAGTGCTCTCTGTAACTGAAAAGGATTCAGCGTAGAAATGTCCACCAGAAGTTGTCATAGGGTGTTGCTTCAAAGGGACTGTGAAGACAAACAGACACTTGAGCGACAGAGACCTATGACAAAGTAACAAAATGGGTGGGCTCACTTTTGGTTGGCTCATATAGCGATTGCTCACAAGTAGTCAGATAAAGAACAGACTCAGATATATAGAATGTGATATGTATCACCAAAGCACATTCTAAGGCTGTCAGAGATGCACCTGCCTGCACTCGGTAACTGCAAACATTAAAATGATACTGTAGTTGATGCAATGCAGCTGCAGTCCATGACAATCAACCACTCACAAAGCCTCAAGGTAGAAGGTTACAATCACTAAGTGGGAGACCAAGCACGTTGCATTTTCACCTCCCCTTTATACCCTCCCACTTCACTGCATGTTGAAATATCTCCATTCACACTTCCTTTCGAGCATACACTTTCTCTGTGGCTTGTCTTAGAGTCTCACAAGAACAACAACTATTGAGCAAAATGGAGTTTAAGATGCAAATCTCAACCACGTATCACTTTGTTTGTTATATTTTGTCGCTAAGTTTGTGCTTTGTTGCAGGATAGAGCAGAGTTGTGAGGCGTTATGAAGAGGACAAGAAACAAAAAAACACTGAAGCCACCTGACTCAGGGTAGGGTACGGTGAAGCAGCGGGTTTGGACCAATGTATGTTTGGTAAATTAATTGAGGAGGGTGTACATTTTACATCTTCTCTGGATCACACCTATGAGACAGTTTTTTTTACTTCCTAAAAGAATTGTGTCTTTGTGTGATAGATGGAAGTGAACATGAACAAAGAAATGGGAGTTTTCTGCTGTCTTAGCAGGAGTGAAGGCATTAAAAGGAGAGAGCTTATATGTCAAAATACTGCAGACTTTAATAATGCTGTAATGTATGGCCTTTGTTAATAATTTTTTCTCACACATTTCACACAATTAGCATTAGTATAAGGCTAAGTTATATCTTGTAAGGTATACCATTATATTTACATTTAAATATGACCCATGAGAAGATTCCCAACATCACACCCTATCTTAAATAAATAACATTATCATGTTAAACACAACAGGGTTGATTGTATTTTTTCTAAGGTACTTTGCGAAGCTGAGTGCATATATGAGTGCAATGGTAAGTCCAACGTTATTTCAGATCTCTCCATGAAGAATCTTAAGATGAAAAACGGAAAAATTAAACATTATAGTTCAACTGCTCAAAATATACCATACACTAATGAATGACAACGGTATATCATGAATCTCACAATTAAAGTAGTATAGTAGGAGTTTATGGTAACTCTTTATGAGAAGGGTACAAAATACATGCGTAAGTAATGTATAACTAATGCATGGTTCATAATAATTTTTTGCATTAAGTAGGGCAGGAAGTAATCAAGAATTCCTGTAATTCACCATTAAGAAATGATAAAGTCACCATGAGTTTGAATTTTTAGTTATTGATTGTTATGGTGTAGCCTAGCTGTGCCTCAGGAAGAACAGCGAGTCGCCCACAGAACATCAGAAAATCAGCAGTTTGATCCCTGGCTTCCAGTCTACATGTCAAAAGTGTCCTGAACCCTAAATTGCTCCCGATACTGAATCCCAAATTGCTCCTCTGCCATAGGGGAGCATGAATCATTACTTCCTGTTTCCGATGAGCAGTTGACACCTTAGCCACTGCCATCAGTGTATGATTATGGATGAATGTGACATGTAGTGTAAAGCCCTTTGAGTGGCCAGAAGACTACAAAGTTAGACAGGTAGAGTCCATGTAACATTATTGGATCATCAGATAATGATTATTGAGCCTGTTACTTCATGTAGTGATTTGCCCTCCCTCTGTCGAATGGAAGATGTAACAATAAGAGATGAAGTCTGAGACACCTGTTAGTCCATTCTTATTCTCTTAAACACACCTTGTGGTGGTGCTAAGGAAATACTATGGAATAAATTAAACAAATAAAACAAATAAAAATGTAGGCATTATTTATTTTCAATACATTTAATCTGCCAATTGAAGAGCTAGTTAAAGGCAACCCTATTTTTATAGATTTTATAGAACAGTGATATATATCCTTCTCTTTAATAAGGGTACAAAAACACATGCTTAAACAACGCATAACTAAAGCATGGTTCATGATGATTTGCATGATATAATGTATGTATCATGAATTCCTGTTACTCACCATTAAGAAATGATCAAGTCACCATGAGTTTGCTTTTTTCATCATGTATAAGTGATGCATTAGTTAAGTACCATACCGAGTTTTCTTTATGTGGTTCAAGTACCCACATCAAGCTATTCTTAATACATTCATGATATCAAAACTTCATGGCCTGTTTGGTCTGCTTTTACCCATAGCTCCCCCTTCAGAATAAAATAGGACATGACATGACATTTGTTGGAATTAATTCATAATGTACACAGAACATTTCTCACAAGTAAAAATCAAATAGGCTGCAAGAGCATTGACTGTTGTAAAAACAACAACCAAATATACCTTCACTAACTGTAAAGGCCTTCATTATCCAGGTATCATCAGGCATCATCAGGCTCTTATAGCACCTTGTCACTCCTCCTCAGTTTTGCATATGACTGCAGTCCAGACTGCAGAGCGCTATTGGTTGACACAGATGGTGGCTCCACTCATTCAGCTTTTGCTGTCAGGCTATTTCCCAACTGTGAGGGTATAAGAGCAAGCAATTATATATACAGTAATTTTTTTTATTGTTCGTGTGTAATATAGAACAAAGTGGGTCAAAGTAGGTGGACGTGGATTAAATGTACTATGCACTACAGGGGGAGGACGATGAATGTGTCGGCAGAGCTCTGTTTTCTAGCATGTTTAATTCTGACTGTAGGCTTGACTTTGGGTTTTGGGCCAAACCAAAACATGGAATTTACATTTCTATTACAAGCTGGCACTACAGAGTGTTTTTACCAAACCACCGCGAGGAATGACAGTATGGAAGTTGAATACCAGGTAAATATAATTTTCACTCTTTCTCTCTTTCTCTCCTGTCTGTGTATGTTGTGTTAAATGTGTTTAATGTTTTGGATAGCTTTATTAAAGTTTTTGAATAATGTTTAACTGAAAAACAAGTTAACAGGCTTTGTACTTTGGCCCTGCGTGCAAAAAGAGATAAGAAAACTATTGCTGTTGTAGTGGAAGACACTTGTCCCGAGATATGGCAAAATTACCCTTGCTTCTTTACATATTGCAAAAGTAATACTAAACATGTACCCTGCATAACCATGAACATGTATTTACATGGCATTGTAAATACATCCTCTATAACCACCATACTTTTTTAAATGAATGCAAAATGCATTCACAGGCTACATAGGCTATCACTAAATACAACAAGCTTCAAATTCAAAAGCAATTGTTCTCAAGTCTCTTATAATGTGTTAATGACCTCAGTGATTTTTTGGCCAAGACCTTTGCATTGCTTCCCTTCCTACCTACAGTCATCTTACTGCACACTCTGGCAGCTGCAGGACTGTGTTAGGGTAAAGTTACAGTCTTGGCTACCCCCCGTAACATATCTCTGTGATCTCTGTGAGTGTGGAGTCAGACAAGAGCCTGGCAGAATTACCGGGTCATCATCACTAGAACTGTTGACACACAATGCTTCCAGGGCTGCAGCGTGAATCTGGACCTGTCTGCTGCCTTTTCTCAAAACTTCACTCAACACATAGTCACAACAAAGCCTACAATGGCCTGTAAGTTTGAGGGCTGCTTCTGGGCTGATGTGGAACTGTGGAAGTTTCTGACACATTTTGAGAATATTGCTGTCAAAACAAAAAGATAAAAGATCAAGTGTACATTAACATTTTGTAGTTTTTCAGTGAGAATGTCACTGAATCCCTATCAGGACTGTTGTACCATGTTTGACATTGAGCTCTTCTTTTACAGAGAGCAAAGGGGGGCAGTAGTGGGTAGCGGAATAGAGAATTTCTCTACACATATACCAAAACTGTGACTGTGGCATTATACATGGATTAGCCATTACATTATGACCACTGACAGTTGGTTATATTAGGTAATATTTTGTCTGCAACGTTGATGTGTTAGAAGTAGGAAAAATAGGCAAGAGTAAGGATTTGAGCAACTCTGAAAAGGGCCAAATTGTGATGGCTAGACGACTAGGTCAGAGTATCTCCAAAACTGCAGCTCTTGTGGGGTGTTCCCAGTCTGCAGAGGTCAGTAGGCTACCTATCAAAAGTGATCCAAGGAAGGAAAAGCAGTGAACCAGCGACAGGGTCATGGGTGGCCAAGGGTCATTGATACACTTGGGAAGCGAAGGCTGCCCTGTGTGGTTCAATCCAACAGACGAGCTACTGTATGTCAAACTGCTGAAAAAGTTAATGCTGGTTCTGATTGAAAGGTGTCAGAACATACAGGGCATCGCAGTTGATTGTGTATGGGGCAGTTTAGCCCCAGACCAGTCAGGTTCCCCATGCTGAACCCTGTCCACTGGCAATTGTCAATTGGCACGTGAGCATCAGAACTGGACCATGGAACAATGGAAGAAGTTGGTCTGGTCTGAAGAATCAAGTTGTCTTTTGCATCACATGGATGACCGGGTGAGTGTGCGTTGCTTACCTGGGGAACACATGGCACCAGGATGCACATAGGAAGAAGGCAAGCAGTGTGATGCTCTGCTGGGAAACCTTGAGTCCTGCCATTCATGTAGATGTTTTATTGATACATACCACATACCTAAGCATTGTTGCAGACCATGCCAGATCCAATCAACCAGATCTCAATCCAGTTGACCGTTTTTGGGATGTGCTGGTCCAATCCATAGAGGCCCCACCTCACAACTAACAGGACTAAAAGGCACTGCTGCTAACGTATTGGTGCCAGATATCACAGCGCACCTGAAGAGTTCTTGCGAAGGTCATGCTTTGATGGGTCAGGACTGTCATGGGTGCGAAAAGGGGACCTACACAATATTAGGCAGGTGGTCATATTATTACTGTATGTCTGATGGGTGTATGTGAGCTAGGTTGTTGCTCATTGTTCTATCAGGGCTTTAATTTGAATTTCAGACAGGTGTCTGCATATCTGGAGGGAAAATGTGAAGATAGCAGTTGAAATGTGAGTGTGTTCTGGGTTGCTGAAGACTGGGCATCCTCCTTTACTGAGCCCAAACCATCTGTGTCTTTTGCAGGTAATAGCTGGGTCAGGTCTGGATGTTGGTTTTGCCCTCATCTCCCCCAGCGGATACCGACTGGTCTCTGACTTCAGGAGATCTGATGGCATTCACATGTGGGTAACCTATTTCCTTTCCAACAACCACCTGCTATTAATGTGGTGCTCACTTCCTGTAATGCTCTTTATTTGTATTGAAACCAATTAACCACAAGCAAACACCAAGGCAGCAATCAAGAGAGAATTCCCTAAATACATAAAAACCAAAGGGACTTGATTTCCATGATATTATTGACAGCAAATGTCACATTTTTTAATGCAGGGTGGATCCTACGGAGGATGGAGACTACAAGTTGTGTTTTGACAACAGCTTCAGTAAACTGTCAGAGAAGATGGTGTTCTTTGAGGTGATCATTAATAGTCAGAGCAGCGCAGGCCAAGATGAGTGGGCGGACATAGCCATGCCAGAGAGCATGGTGGATTACAAACTGGAGGATATCAGGGTGAGAGGGGACACACAAAGATACATTACATCTGCTGCAGCTATGATCCCGCTTCAGACAACACTTGAATTATCTGATGTCATTCTTTCTGATGTCTACACATCTCTGCACTGACTTTCATCTCCTCCTGTCTGCCATTCCTTTCTTCCTCTTCCAGGTGAGGATGGACTCTGTGTACCGCCACCTGGAGAGGAGCCGTCAGACCCAGACTGTGCTGCGGGCCTTTGAGACGAGGGACCGCTACCTTCTGGAGGACAACCTGTGGCGGGTGTCCTTCTGGTCCTGCCTCAATCTCCTTGTCATGCTCACCGTTGCTGTCACTCAAATCTACACCCTGCGACGCCTCTTTGATGACACCAAGCAGATCCGCACGTAATCATAGCAAACGGTTTCATTAACTTCCAGCCAATAGAGTGCAGAATCTCCATGTGCTGTTGTGCTCACACTTGAAAGTTTGACCCAAAACCCTTAAAGGGAGAGTAAGTTATTCAGATTTAGGATTGTTGATATTTTAACTCAGCGTTGAAATGCCTTCGGCTTTGCCTGGTCATATCACTTTCTTCTCTGTTCATGCTCTTCAGACCTTTTCCTGTTTGGCTGTTTTTCGGCCATCTCTCCTTCTTCACAGTGCCTGGATTCCAGCACGTTCAAATGTACCCCTGTGTAGAACTCTCTCTCCCACTGCCCCCCACCCACCATCACTCCTGTGCACGAGCACTTACTGTTGATGATTGGCTGGAACACTGTTGTGGGGAAGGTCCACACCACTGTCTTTGTTTTCCATTTACAGAGCCAGGGTTGTGTAGGAAAACTGGATTTTGGAAAATGGGAACCTAGCAACTCCGAGGAAATATTGGCTGAATCTATCAAAAAGTGTATTGGATTACAATAACTTACTATCCCTTTAAAGGTTCAGTGTGTACGTTTCAGTGGCATCTAGTGGTGAGGGTTGCGAATTGCAACTAGTGGCTCACGGTGGCTCGGTCCCATTTCCCGAGTTGTGAAGTCGTTCTTCCGACTTCAGTGTGTGTTCATGTGCTCTTAAGTTGGAATGTGGAATCAACATGGACACTGCTCTGAAATGTGCTAGATTAGCATTATCACAGCATATAAACACGCAGACATCTAGTTCACTCTACATGGACAACAAACTGACCGTTATAACGGTTACAAATTACATGTTTGCAAAATCTGTACATGCAATATGTGATTTTGCACAAAGAAAAGTTCTGTTTACTTCTTTATGTTCCATGTACACTTTCTTTTTCTTTTTTGCAATAAAGATTTAAGGAGGGAAAAAAAGATTCTGATTATTCCAACACCACATGAATGCATCATCACTGACCCATCCCTCCCTTTCCAAGCAGGCAGAAGCTACAGTGGCTGATTGTCAGCTGTTGTGCTAAATATGTGTGCTCCTCCATTTGTCAAATTTCTCCTCTTACTTCTAATCAACCAGTCAACTACTACTAACTTACCTTTTCTTTGTATTTATTTAACGTTGTGACGAAATGCGCTCTGTAGAGCAGTTTGTCTGTTTTAGGCTATTGTAGAAACATGGAGGCACAACATGGCGACTTTTATGTGAGGGCACCCTCTGTGTATGTAGATAGAAAGGACACATAGTTATGTATATTATATAGCTTTTCTGTAAATAAATCCTCCTAAATATGAATCTTTAAAGGCTGGTGCAGGCTACACGGCTTTCAGCGTCGGCCGATGCCGTTCACACTACACAACTTGCCGTCTTGTGACGGGATTCTTGAAGTTGTTGTGGCGTTCACTGGCTGATCGGTGACAGGGGGTCACACTACACGAGCAAGTGATATGTGCCTTGTGAGATGAATTTAAAGCTTCGCACTTTTTGAAAAACTCATCATGCACTGGGACATTTGTTATTGCAACCAAAATGTGCTTGTTTGGATGCTTTGTGAAATTGTGTATTCCAGTCACATCAATTCCTAATAAATCACATTTAAAGTACTGTAATATATAACAGACCAAGCCACATTATATGTGTGTGTGTGTATACATAGATAAAATTCTTGCAGCACTGATATTCTGGCGATGTCACTGGGGAAGCTAGAAAATGACAGCTGTTGTCATTGGAAAGTTTTATTGAATTTCAGATACCACATTTAACATTTATGACTCTATGCTGTTTTATCGAACAAATAGCCAAATCAAGCCTTCGGCTGTTTTTAAAATAATCACATCTAAACCCTTTACTGTGATAAAAAGATATATACACTACTCAAAAAAAAAATAAAGGGAACACTTAAACAACACAATGTAACCCCAAGTCAATCACACTCCTGTGAAATCAAACTGTCCACTTACGAAGCAACACTGATTGACAATCAATTTCACATGCTGTTGTGGTCAGAAACAGACTCCATTAACATTAAGGGTGGTATGAGGGCCCGACGTCCACAGGTGGGGGTTGTGCTTACAGCCCAACACCGTGCAGGACGTTTGGCATTTGCCAGAGAACACCAAGATTGGCAAATTCGCCACTGGCGCCCTGTGCTCTTCACAGATGAAAGCAGGTTCCCACTGAGCACATGTGACAGACGTGACAGAGTCTGGAGACGCCGTGGAGAACGTTCTGCTGCCTGCAACATCCTCCAGCATGACCGGTTTGGCGGTGGGTCAGTAATGGTGTGGCGTGGAATTTCTTTGGGGGGCCGCACAGCCCTCCATGTGCTCGCCAGAGGTAGCCTGACTGCCATTAGGTACCGAGATGAGATCCTCAGACCCCTTGTGAGACCATATGCTGGTGCGGTTGGCCCTGGGTTCCTCCTAATGCAAGACAATGCTAGACCTCATGTGGCTGGAGTGTGTCAGCAGTTCCTGCAAGAGGAAGGCATTGATGCTATGGACTGACCCGCCCGTTCCCCAGACCTGAATCCAATTGAGCACATCTGGGGCATCATGTCTCGCTCTATCCACCAACGCCACGTTGCACCACAGACTGCTTTAGTCCAGATCTGGGAGGAGATCCCTCAGGAGACCATCCGCTACCTCATCAGGAGCATGCCCAGGCATTGTAGGGAGGTCATACAGGCACGTGGAGGCCACGCACTACTGAACCTCATTTTGACTTGTTTTAAGGACATTACATCAAAGTTGGATCGGCCTGTAGTGTGGTTTTCCACTTTGATTTTGAGTGTGACTCCAAATCCAGACCTCCGTGGGTTGATAGATTTGATTTCCATTGATAATTTGTGTGATTTTGTTGTCAGCACATTTAACTATGTAAAGAAAGGGGTATTTAATGAGATTATTTCATTCATTCAGATCTAGGATGTATTATTCTAGTGTTCCCTTTATTTTTTTTAGCAGTGTATATTCACACAGTCATCAAGTCAAACTTCCTGATCAGTTTCTCCATCTGGAGGTTAAGGAGGAAGAAAACAGTGACGTCAGGCATATCACACGAAGTTACTTTTGGCTGAAACATTAACTTCCTTGACATTATTTGTTTCATGTGATTGCACTTGTACAATTGCACAAAACATAGCAGGAAAAACCTATTGTGCATTTCAATCAGTATTAAAGCATTTTCTCACACTGTTGAGACTGCCAGCTCAGTTTCCTGAGGCATCGTTAACATTTTCTGTCTACAAAACATATTCAGTGGTCACGCTCCACAACTTGACCGGCATTGTTTTTCTGCCATCACAGAATAGTGACATGCTAAAATAAGAAAAACATCTGCATGTTGAACTGTCCTTATTACTGTACCATAATTAATCTGTAAAAAAACTGTAGCTAAAAATTATTGTTCAAAGAAATAATTGCCAGTGTTCTGGGGGATTGTGTGGTATGAAGAAAATACCAGCATTAGATTGTTGAATTAGATTTCACATTATTAAAAATGATTCTGACCATCTGTGGTAATACAAAAACATTTTTAGTGCTCAATAACAATTTGTTTTTGTTTTACTGACAGTATCAGATTACTTATGTAGGCCTTTAACAGCATTGTTGGAGCTAATCTTTTTGAGTTTGAGTAAAAAATGCAGTTCTTCCATGGTCCTGCTGCTGTCATGGATTGAAGTAATTTCATGTCCTCTCCAACCCGGTCAAGGTCACCACTGGTTTCGAGGGGGAGCCGGGCGCCTGTTCAAGAAGAATCAACCAACATCAATCTCTTAACATATTGACATGCACTTAGTCATAATACAGGATCCAGTCGTCGGAACAGCGAGGGCATTTGTAATGAGGCAATCTCTGTTAGCTTAGAGAGATCATCTACCACTCTCATTGGAGGAAAAGATTAGACACATAAAACTGGATTCATTAATTAATGCTGCAGCTCAAAGACAATCACAATACAAAAAACACTACTTCTGATATACGTATTGGTTGAGATTTGAGCATATTTAGCACATAATTGTTTTAAAAGCTGTTTTGAAAAATCTGAACGAGGGAATTTAAAGGTATTCAAAGTAAACAGAATATAGCCTACATATTGTGCCTATAAAATAATCCCACTCCCTTGGAACTTGTCATGTCTTATTGTTTTACAAATTTTTTCATTTTGACATTAAAGAATACTTCCCTGTTGATCAGGGTTTTAAAAAAGTCTCACTAAATCTACTTACTCTAAACGCTTTAACACACAACAAACTTAAAACAAACGTCTTCTTTTCAAAGAGACTGTAAACAATGATTGAATCGATTCAGCAGCGACAGAAGGTTACTGTTGCTATAAGGTATTGATTTGTTTGGTTCACCACTTTACATTTGATGAAAATGCATGTGCTGACAGTAAAGAACATTGACCATTGTTTGAACATTGTCTCTCTATACAGGCAGGCTGCCATAGAAACATTTGCAGGCTTATGTCAGTCTGTATTGGTTTAGATGTAGAGAGGGAGGCAAGTGAGGAGAGGAAAATCAGGGGGAGCGATACATTATCTGAGAGATAGAGAAGAGAAAGTGGATCACACAGGACACAAGGAGACACCAACCACCAGAGCCAGTCCCTTTATTGTACACAACACCTCTTTATTTACTCTCCATTCTAAGTCAGTTCATTTTGTTTATTCAAATCAATTAATTGCTACAGAGGCACTTGACAAGGGTTTGCATAACAAAAAGAAAAGAGTTTTTTGCAGGTTGGATTCCAACCCCATCCACCAGATTCAGAGAGGGGAGGGGGGAAAGGAAGGAGGCAGGGTACATCCATTAGAGAGAAAGGCAATATTGCCACAACCTAATGTATTACAGGGCATTTACAGTCTGGGCTTCTCACAGGCAGGCTGAAGTGACAGGCACAAGGGAATTTCAACAAACGCTGGGCAATAAGTTTTATCACACGAACTAACTTGTGTGTAGAGGGGGTTTGTGAAAGATCTAATGTGAAGGATCTTCAATCTAAAGATTTGGGGTTTTATAACTTGTTTTACTGTCACTGAAAGCCAGACCTGTAGACAAATTCGGGAGGAACACACTGTCTCTAGAGTCTGTGGTTTGGAACAGTTTTGATTTCTTTATAGTGTCTTTGTCATGTCAGGTCTAATTATGTTTTTATTCTCTGTGTTGAGAACAGAGAAAAAGTTTGGACAGCTTCTCAAGACAGGGTGTGCCTTCATAAACCACAAATCCCACCACCTACTCACCAACACTACTGATCAAACCAAAAACAGAAAGCATCCTAATAGCTCAACATCATTCTCAGCTTGACCAGTTTGCGTCTAAACATGTTCAAGAAAATTTGGTTTTAAATGGTCAAATACCCTGGAAGAGCAATCAAAATGATGATCATGATCAAATAATCACAGCTGTGTGTCCAGCCCCAAGTGCCATCCCAACATACAACAAGTTTAGACTGCCAATCCCCGTAGCAGAACCCCAAATAACAGTCCAGGAGAAGCTGGAGAGCTGAGTTTTACAGAGCTGATAAAATTGCACCCAAAAACATCAAAGAAATGACAAATGCCCAGGTTATAAATAATGCATTGGAGATGACCAGTCTCTTCTTCCCTACACCCAAGGCTAATTTATGAAATTACACTGTTAGTGCTTCCTTTAATATGACAGCAACAGTTGCATTTTAACATCTTGGTTTATTATCAATAGTATGTTTTTGTCATCAACCCTGCAATTAAATGCGATACAAGTGCTAACTCCCCAGTATAGGCCAGCTATATACAATGATATATTTAATGCACGGAAGCAGAACTGATAGCAATAATAAATGTCCTTGACAACTAAGCCCAGAAAGAGACGTGCGAACTCCTAAATGCTTAATACCATCTTTATACTGTAAATCATAGATACGTCCTTGTCTA